TGCCAGCTAGCTTCGAACGTTTTGCCAATTAATCCCACGAAAGCCGCGTAGCAACAGACACCGGTTATCAACCTCAAGCATTTATCCAGCTCGCCGACAACGCTGCTCAGCTGTAATTGATACACAAAGTCATCCAGCTTTACGGACCCATCTTGGTACGCCTGTTCGCGAAGATAGAGTGTAGTTTTGTGGACAATCTTCCCGGTGATGAGCACGATAAAAATGACGAATCCGAGCTGGAGATCACGACCAAGAAATGTTATGTTTAGAATGGCAAAACTGACCCGAACAATCCACTCCACGGCAAGGCCGGAGATAGGAATACTGGAAAAATAAGTGGTTTTCCATTTCTTGGTACGGTTGTTCAGATCCCAGACAAATTCTTCAACATAAAACCAATAAGCATTTTTGAACACAGCGACGACAATATAGAGCACAATTCCAACAATACTGATTCGAGTCTCTGTCTGTGTCAACAGGGAGCCGTATAGTTGGTCCAGTTTGTCAATCAGATGCAGAAGCCGTTTGCTGCATGACCACATGAGAAATATGCACAGCAGATTGGCAATCCTGTCTGATGCCGCAACCAGCTGCATCATGACGGCCGTAAACCAATTGGACGAAAGAGATATGTCGGCAAAATACATCCAGCCGTCATATGTCGTACAGGCCTTGACGCAGAAAATAAGCGTTATATAAACGTACATTCCACAGCGCAGAGTCATGGAACACCGCGGATGGTTGTCGATCATGATACGAAAATATCCGCATATCTGCAAGAGGATCACCCAAACAGCAGTGACCTTCCAGATAAAACCATGCTTAATTTGCGGAGCGGGCATTTCGTCCGTGCTGGTGATGGAAACTGGCTGCTTATCGGAGCTATGGCTTCGTTTCGACATCGCGCCGAATTTAGAATTTTCCTGATCTATTAATTTGCCATTGGTAGAAACTCATACAACACAGTTTGAAATTTGTGGTGATCAGGTGTTCCCGACATGCATATCTCCTCAGTCAGGCGCGGTAGTACTCCGTAGATTACTCTTATCTGAATAACGCCGCCTTATACCAAGGAAGCTTCTGCGCAAACCGGAACGTGACTGACAGCATCAACTGTTTTACTTCCAGTGCCCAGAAAACGATACTCGTGTGGGAGCTTAACTAGCTACTGACTCAAGGGAATAAGAGCGCACACCGGTGTTTCAAATGGAAACGGTTTGCCAAATATTCTAATAGGGCATTCGACAAGTACTTACCGAATGTTTAACGCACTATTTATAAGCATGCAAGTCGACATAATGGCTTGCAAGTCATTTTTTCAAAACAGTAAATAAAGATCTAGAAGAAATCACGCGTGAGCATCCTAGAGAATGATTGTATTTGGTCCAATCAGCACAAATAAATCTTTTACAAATAAAATAAGCAAATAAAAGCACAAATAAAATAAAATAAACACAGAAAATTCGAGGCGGTCTTTCTTGCTTTTCTATCCAGCTGAAGTATGCAGTCAAATACCCTGCAATCGATAATTATTAGCGATTTCACTTTGGTCGAAAACGGAACAACAGACGAAATAGGTAGTTTATGTTTATGAATGCGTACTGCATACCAACCTGTGTGCAGTTCAACGCCTTGACTACAGCCTCGGAGGACCGACTGCCACTGGCCAACTCCGAAAAGACCAACACAGTACTCGCCAAAGCGGCAGCCATCTGGAAAACGACAATGCAATGATAATATGACTCCACGATCCGCTGCTTTTATCGAGAAGCTAACGCTGTTTTCCTTACCGCAAAAGCGTGTTCGCGGGTGATAACTACCCCAGCTAATGTAAAACATGCCGGCTCGCGTTGTTTGCCGCGCACATACACTGCGACGTAGTCTTCTCTGCGCCAATGGACTCTGCCGATGTGTAGGCACATTTCAGTAGTTTCAGCCATTTCCGCACCCTGTAACAAGAAATGAAATTTATTTAGAATTTTACAAACCAAAAAAAGTTCGTTATTTGGTGATATAAAATTTGTTTAATCCAAAAACTGATCGGTCAAAATATAATTGTTGTACCTGCTCGGCAGAGTATACACAAGCAGAAAAAATGATGCAAAATGACATAACGTGGGCAGCTATCGCGATGACAGTCCCCGCTGCTGGTGACTGGCCGTTCGGTGATGTTCTGCCCAATTCGAAGGAGAGATAAATTAAATTTGCCAACGCAGCGTACACGCGGTTGGCGGCTATAACCGCGAAGCATTTATCCAGATCCTTGACAAGATTGATCAAGTGCAGCTGCTGTAAATAATCATCCACTAGCACACATCCACAAGCGCTCAGGTGATCACGCAGCTTCTTGGCGCCTCGTCCCACAATGATACTACAGATTACAGTTACACTCATTATAAAGCCGAGAACAATTTCGCGGCCAACAACCGACAGACGAACCACGGCGTTCTGCACACGAAAGATGTACTCAACGTATTCTATCGGAAAATACGGAAAATACTGCTCCCGATACAAACTGACGCTGTCCTGGAAGTGGGAATCAACTTGCTCTCCGTAAAAGCGAAAACCGTTTTTCACAAGCGTAAAAGACGCATAAGCAATCATACCAGTTGCTAAAACGAAGGCTTCTTTTCGCGTAACTAACGAAGCATAAACACGATCGAGGTTGTTTATTAGTTGAAGAATATGCTGATTGGATACGCATAGAAGAACGATGCACAACGGATTGGACAGCAGATCCGTGGCGCTGATTAGTTGGATGAAGAGGCGGGTGAACCAGCTAGACAATGCCGGTGTTAGCGTGGTCTCATCATACACACAGAATAATACGCAACCGGTACCGAAAGCAATGTACGCGAACATTATGCAGCGAGTTAGAATGGCGCATGCAGTGCGCTTTTCCAATGGATAGACAAAATAGCCACATAACTGGAGAAAGGACAACCATGCTACGCTCACTTTCCAGATAAAACCATGCCCTGCTGCGGGATCGGGCGTAATGCACGATTTCGTATCCATCACTGCTTCATCCGTCATAACACCTTTGACTTTCTCTTCGGGCATTTCCTTATAGTGCTCTTACGCAACCGTGCTGAGGCGATTTTCAGAAAGCTGCGTGGTAGGAGGTTCTTTGAACAGGAAGAATACCGAGAATATTTTTGTCCCACACCAAAATCGTGCTTACTTTTCGTCGATTCTGTGCAGGGTTACACGGTTTGCTACCCCTTCTTCCGGGAGTATTTGTTGAGAATTCAAATAATACTGAGGACACAGCAACTACTCGTATTGATTATAGGCCACAAACTAGAAACGCAAGGGATTCAGCTCACCATCCAGGGAACTCGCACTCCTACGTAAGCCACGTGATAGGTCTGGGCTTGTGAAGTTTCGGCGCATGATTTTTTTCTGGTTCTGGTATTGTACACACATAATGAGATATACGAACGAGGCCCTTCATTAATTACTGAGGAAAATTATAACTATCAATAAACCGCAAGCAGCTGCCATATGTATAATACATGCTGACAATTGATCATCAAATTACTAACAGACAGAATAGACCGCTTTCCGATTACCGACACCAGGTCCAACAATTTTCTCACAAATTACTGGCAATGTCTGGCACAATCTTTACCGACAAATATCAACTAGCATTAATTTTACGAGAAACTAAAACGGTAAAATACCAAGAAGAGCATTGCCTAGGTCTGTTCACTCTGTTGTCACATATATAATCCAAACAAGTATTGTAATGTTGGAGTGCTGTGGAGCCAGTTGATTGACAGCTGAAATTGCCCTCAGAATCGTTGATCAACTGTAAGTGCAAAAGGAGGAAAACCACTGGTGCTATGTCGGCTGACAATATAGTCATAAAAATGCAAAGATCGATTTTCAGACTGCACAAACTGAGAATTGCTAAAGCAGCTGACTAACTGCGACAACAGCAAACCTAAAGCATGCTTTACCTGTGCCGGTGCTGCTATATTGTTACACAGTATACGGTTATACCGCCCAGTCAGTTGGTTGCTAATATTTATTGGACATTTTACATTTTCGACATGATGCCGACATCATCCATGTCTACTTTTCGACAGCTGCTGAAAATTGTATGACGTGGCATATCGTATGTTTGCCAATTACGATTAGGGCGCTGTATCCAATGAGCTCATTGGGCATAATCGAATCGCTGCTTGACTTAATTAAAACATTTTTTTGTGCGCCGCTCAGGCGAAAGCAGTGGCTCCGCATTCCGTACCGAGATGCGGCAAAATATTGAGTAACCTTGTACGTGCAATAAACACACTTTATGTACAGTACTTGCGGGTACCACTTTCCGATTTTATCGTCAGGAATTAAGAGCAATCATTCCGACATATTGACGAGAATTCATGTGTTTGATCCGGATGAAATACAGTATCCGCACATTTGTGCAGTAAGCGAGTTCCCTTTTTTAAACAGATCCGTACTACGTGGACATACTGAAACACAAGAATTTGTTGATATAGAAGACGGTCATCTAGTGTTGCGGTAAGCATTCTGCGTTCCCTAAGGACCTGACAATGAATCTCATATGACAGCGTAGTAGAGTACCCGTAGCGTACGCCATTATCGACGTTACCATACGCGAAAGAGCCTTGTTCGGTAGTTCAATGACCCTCAAAATCAACAAAATGGTTCTAGCCATTGACCAGCAAGACTTCACTAAGGCCCCGCCGACGACCAAGACCGAGAGCTTAAAGAGCGGCCCACTGTGGAAGATCACCGTTGTTTGGATTGCGCTGCTGCGTATCGGCGGCTACATTTTCTCGCCGCTACCAAAACAGTCTCAATTAACAACCGGTTTGCGTGCTTTCTCGTACATTTATGCGGCCCTCATTATTGGATCGAACCTGCTATATCTATACGAGTCTGTTCGGTTCCATTCCTCACACTTTTCAAACTGGTTTACCTCCGTTGTGAATCAAGTGATCACCACATCAAACATCATCTGTGATTTGCTGTGCATGCTGCTGGCATGTTCAGCTAGTCGTGCATTTCTGCAGCTGCTGAAAACTCTCGACCAGATGTCCTCTGGATTAATCCTTCCGAAGAGACTGTACGCGTGTGTTTTCGCCATGATTCTTCACATTTTGTGTGTGGCGGCTACATCCACGTATTTTGTGTATACGCTAGAATGTGACGTCTCAGTTTCACAGCAAATAGCGGATTTTCGGCAACGATACTTACCAAATCTGCCGGCATCTCATGTGGAAGTGATTTTCCGAGCTTACACCGTCTTCACATGTCTGCCGTTTGTCAGCCGCGAAATCTTATTAGGCTTCGTATTATCTGTTATGTTTCTCACCAGTGAAACTCTTCGAATGACTGCCGTGCTCATGAATTCTGGACTGCTCACAGCGAACACTGTCCCGATACACGAGTATTCTCAAATGATACAACTGAGAAATGTCGTCAAGGATCTGAATGGCTGTTTTTCGCCGATTGTCGGGATACTGTGCTATGGAGCTCTAACCGGTTCCATTGTTCTTACGCTAGACTGTAGTCAGTACACTACGGGCCAGCAGCCGCCCATGGAAAACATTGCCGCCCTAATGACACACATATTTTCTTTTTGTGCGTTGACGAGTATTTGTGCGTTCTCTACTGAACAGGTAATAAATATGAAAATGCCGAATATTTTTTGAATTCTTTCTGGGTTAGAATTTTCAGAGAAACGCTCGCTGTGTCCTTAATGGTTATTCGTCTAAAGGGACAAAAACTCGCCAACGTAGCTGAAATGTGCTTGCGTATCGGAGAAAAGCAGTGGACGAACGATGAGTGGACGGCCACGTATCTCCGCGGGAAGCAAAGCGAACCTTGCTGCTATACTGCTGGCGGTGTTGTAATCATGCGGGAAGGAGCTGTTCAGGTACATAACCGTACAAGCGTACATTGACAATCCCCCGAGTCGATTAGCAGTATGTTTTTTTTTTAAACTTTAACTAAAAATTCGTACAATATTGCACCACAGTACAGCACGTTCTCGGAATCGCAAGCCGTAAAATTATTTGGATCCGTATTTGTTACGTAGAACATCACAATTATTCAAGCACCCTGGATTTTCCTAAAACACACATTGTATTGTAATGTTCCTACTCGTCCCGTACAGGCTTGTGCTGCATTGATAAGCACCTTACTGGTGTTCGCGGAACTCGCTGGTGGTGGTAAAAGCGAAGGAGCGGGAAAAGGGGGTGCAAATACAACCCAGGTTTGAGCGATCGATGTCTTCGTTTAAACCTACTATATGCACTTATTCATTGCGTTCTACAGGTGATTTGAAGCTACAACACTACGCACTCTTCCGACTCCACGTTAGCGAAATTTGCAGGTTAGTATAATAAGCGCAAAGTGCGTCGCGAATTCCTCATTGGCTTACTGACTCGTTCGGCTTCTTAACCTGATCAGTTCGTTTTTAATTTATTCATTAGATACTGATACTTTGTATGTGCTGCAGGTGGTGTCACAAAGGTCATTAATTACAGCGGTTCTAATGCAAATTAAATTTTTGGTTGGATAAACTGATTTTCTGTCTGTTCATTGTTTGTCCAGTAGCACAGTATATTGTACACACACTCTGACCTCAGTGTCTGCTAGATAACGTATATCCTACTAGATAAACCTACATAATTATTACTGCATAAAGCGAAACCGATGATCAAAATTCTCAAGTAGAACTTTGCCGCAACTGCATCCTCCAACTTCACTATCCATTTTCTCGTTTAATCTGATGCCGTTATTGAAAAAATTACTCTGCAATTACTTCTTTTGATGTAGCTGTTATAACACCCGCAGAGGACACATTGGCGCATCTTGCTCTTCTAATACGAGAAGCCACTTAAATCATTTCAAGGTTGCACGAGCCTTGCCATCCTATCGTATCTGCATACGTACGTATCTGTAATTTTCTAACCAGTAAGACGCAGTATCCAAATTAATCGGAAAAATGGACGCGCGCTGAGTGTTCTAATCACACATACAGGTAGCAGAACCGGTCGAGAATGAACCATACGCTCACTTTACCGAAACACAACGTGCCACCGTAAGCAACAGAGTCGTTCAGCTGCGAAAATGTCAGGAAGGTTACCTTATAGGCGGAACCATGCTGCGTTTCATAATCATGCGTGGTGGATGATGTTATTTTGACCAGTGCTGTCTGTCTTGAGGTAACGCATGACGTTCTATACCGACACCTGCTTTTTTTAAACAACAGTGCCGAGACAAATAGGACAAAACCTATTGTGGGATTCGGGGGGACGTCGGACAGAAATAGCAGCGAGGGTTTTACTGTCACACCTGGGTCAATTTTAACGATTAGCTGTAGGGATTCCGCGGTTTGTTGCCTTCTGAGAGTGTTTGCAAGCAATTCAGATAACACTGAACAGCACATATCCTGTCCGTATTGGTTGTAGGCCACCGCGTGCAAACAGAAGGGAGTTAGCCGATAACCTGGGAAAACCTACATCCTCGGCTGAACAACGCGGTCGTGGTGGGGGTGTGGTGTTTGGAGTGGCGGCATGGGAACAGCATTGTTTCATATTTCCTTATGTATAACCAAGGCACACAGTGAGAATTGTCTCGGTTTACCGGCACGATACGCAAGAGAGTGCAGTGCACAGCAAAGACGAGAATGTCGTGGAAAAGATTACTCTTGATAACTCAGGGTATCCTCAGTATTCCTCAAACCATCGATCCACTCTCACTGCAAAACAAATAACATCCACGGTGCTACGCCCATCAGTCGATTATGCGTAAACTCAAATCTCTGTACCGCGGATTGATGATGGTAGAAATTGTTTGCCAGGATTCATAGAAGATGTCAAAATTATGTCAATCATATTGTGTTTTAGCCCTGGTTATACAGGTAACGATATGTTTGCCTGCTGTCTATCCCGGTGGTTGCAAATGTATTATGGTATTCCTACGTGTGCTGGTTCCGGGCAGGACATTATAATAATTATACCGTTCAAACACTGCAGAATTGTTCCTAGTTCCCACAGTGCACTCCATTCCGTAATTGCGTAGCTTTCGGTTCGTGATTGCACTGATCACTCTAATGTCTGCAAGCTGATACGAGCGGGCGAAACCGTTGTTAATAGAAAACAGACTTCGAATTTTGCAAGGACATTGCTTCATAAGCACCTCTACAACAGCAGAAATTTTTAATGGACTGCCAGTTCGGTCTACATGGAAGAGCGTTGGTAGTAGCTAAATAACTGCCAAATCAACAAGATGGTTGTCGCTATTGACCACCAAGATCACGCCAAGAAGCTAACGGCTGCGGAGAGCAAGGGTACGAAGAAAGGACCGCTTTTGCTAATACCGTGGTCTGGTTTACCCTGTTACGTATCGGCGGGTATATTTTCTTGCCACTGCAACGACGTTCTCGATTACGGGGAATTTTGTTTGCTTTTATGTGTTTGTACACAGCATTCGTTATCGGGTCGAATGTGCTTTATCTTTATGAATCTGTCAAGTTCTACCCTACGGCGAAATTTTCCAACTGGTTCACTTCCGTAGTGAATCAAGAAATCACTACATCGAACATCATCTGCGATTTACTTTGTATGCTGCTTGTATTCTTATCGAGCAGAAAATTTCTGCAGTTGCTGAGGATTCTCGACCAAATTACGTCTGGATTAATCGCTCCGAAGAGACTGTACGCTTGTGGTTTCGTTTTCGTCGTCCACATTCTGACTGTGGCAGTCAAATCAACTTATAACATATATACACAACAATCTGATGTTTCAGTTGAGCAACAAATAACGGACTTTCATCAGCGGTACTTCCCAAATGTGCCGGTATCCTATGTGGAAGTGATTTTTCGCGCTTACTCTGTGGGCACATGTTTGCCGTACATCTGCCGCGATATCCTTTTGGGCTTTCTATTATCTGTTGCGTTTCTCAGTAGTGAAGATCTTCGGGGAAATTCACAGCATTTAAATAGTTGCCTCCTGACAACGGCGAAAGTCCACTGGAAGAATATTCACAGATGCTACAGTTGAGGAAGATCGTCAACGATCTGAGTGGCTGTTTTTCACTAATTACCGGCATTTTGTGTTACGCGTCATTAACGGGCGCAATTGTCCTTACGCTTGACTGCAGCCGATACCCCGCGGAACAGCAGCCCCCTTTAGAAAATATTGCTACACTAACGACATACACATTTTCGTTTTGCATATTGACCACTATCTGTGCGTATTCTACTGAACAGGTACTTCGAGAAAACTCAGAAAATATGTTTAGGCGCTGTCTTTGCGTGAAACACTGTGGTTGGTCTTCTTAGGGTCAAAATCTCGATGACGTAGCTGAAATGTCTTTGCGCATGGGAGAAACATTGGACAAACGATGAGTGGACGACCATGTATCTTCGTGGGAAGCAAACCGAGCCATGCTGCTTTACCGTGGGCGGCGTGATGATCAATCGAGAAGGTGCTGTTCAGGTACGTACTTCCACTAATCATAAATTTGCCAGTCAGAAATAGACAAATATTCGTAAGTCAATCAGAATTTGTATTTCGCAAATTTTCCACCATGGAATTTTTGAGTGTGGGTTTATTTTCTTTGTGTACCGTATGTTTTCGATTCACATGCCGCTTTGTATAGTAGAGATTGTTTCTTGTAATAGGCATGTGCCACTTTGATAAGCACCTTGCTAGTATTTACGGAGTTGGCTGGTGGTGGAAAAAGCGGAGAACCGGCAAAACAGTGCACAAACATCCCTCAAGTTCGTGTTGTCGGAGTTTTTGTTTATTACTACTTTGTAAACTTTTCTAAAATCTTCCGCAGGAAACGCGAAGCTGAAAACAACATGTCAGTTATCTGACAAGAGTTCGCCGAGCAATGGGCGGAGTTTAGCCTGTGTGAGCGAATCCTTCTGGACTGACTTCGATAACGGCAAATTCACCAATTTCAATGTTTTACCTTTGTTCATGCGGCTCACGTTCTTGTGTTCTGTCACTCCGAATCACTGAGTACTATAAATCCTTTAAAATCTTTGGATTGGAAAGCTTGGGCAGATTTCAATTATGGAGGTATTACGACGCCATACGATAATATGTAAAGCTACAGCGCCTGTGCTCCCGTATTGCGGATAACTTGTAGCTGTAGTAGATTTTGCATATTATTACGATGCTTTTGTATCAGTTGTATTGTGCTGATAGCAGTGATGTGTTCCTTGAGATTGGTGCTCGTAGTGATAGAGTGAAAAATCGGCCTGGTAGATCGATAAGTCGAAGGCTATATACCTTCAAGAAAAACATACTAAACCCTGGTGTTTTACTGTCGGACGTATTGTTATCATGCGAGAAGTGCGCTGTTCAGGTAAACTAACAGCTTGTCCTCTTGTATTTCATAGTTTCGCCATACTAAAAGCGCCGCTTAACGAGGAAAATCCAGACGAGTACAAGTAGCCACCTTGCTAGTTTAAAAGCAATAAACAGATTCAAACGCAACCGTCATACGGCACTGTAGAGTACTTTTTGAAAGGTGGAAACAGATTCCCATTACGCATCTCCTGTATTAAAAGTTTTTGATTGAACAGTAGGGCTGTGCCGTTTTTGTAACGGTAAGCAACTTGCCTGTATTTGCGGAACTGACTGCCATATGGCTGGCATTAATAAAAGCGAATAACCACTCAAATGAATGCGCAGACATCAACCTGGTTTGTGTTGCCGCCGCCATTTTCTAAAGATTACTGAGGAAATTTATCAAATTATTATTTTCTAATATTATTTTCCGCAACTTCCGCAGATCATCGGAAGCTAGAACCATCGTTTTCAGTTACCTGAAAAGTGCGTCTATTATCGAATGAATGGAACATAGCCTGCTCAGTTGGTACTTTTCCAGTAGTACTTCTATCTGTACTTTGAGATACATGGAGGTACGTCTCACGTAGCACTCTATAAGCAGCTGTTCGAATTCATGAAAAATTGCTCACAAGCGAAGAAAAGTGATACCTTACTTTACTCCATATATTGTACAGTACTCGAGCTGTTTTTAAAACCAGGTGCAATATTTTTGAATAAATGCAGAACATATTGAACGCATGGGAAAATTTTGACCTCTGAGTCGTCTGCCAGTCAGTACACTTCTGATAACTGCAAGTAACAATATCCGATTCCCCTGGCTTTCTCTACCGCCTCCAAGCAACACATTGCTGTTGTTTCAATTTATATTTCCCGGATGATCCTTTACTGCAGCTCACAGGATCTTACTCCCTTGGGAGTACCTACTGTTCCAGCGGCATAGATTCCCTCAGCAGCAATGTAGAACAAGATGAGGCATTTTTATCGGCTAAGCATCCGATCTCTTCCGCTGAGCATGCTACCAACACATATTTTGCTTAGCGTATTCAGTTACTGAAGTCAGAAACACTCGTTTATAAAATGTTGGATAATACGGGCGCAGATGAATTCGGTAAGGAGTTAACATTCTGTTCATCGAAAACTCTAAAGACCCAGCACAAGAAGTCAGAGGGTGAGTTCATCGGGAGCATCACCAGGTTTTGTGCTGTATTTCTGCAGATATGTGGCTGCTTTTATTATCCGTTGGACAAA